GAGACAAGGTCTCACACTCTGTCACCCAGGTTGGAGTTTAGTGGCATAATCATAGCTCACTGTAACCTTGAACTCCAGGAATTCAAGGAATTGAAGGTTATAGTGAACTCCTTGAGTTCCCAATGGCTAGGACTACAGAAACATACTACCATGCTCCGCTAGGGGTGTGTGTGTGTGTGTGTGTGTGTGTGTGTATGTATGTATGTGTATGTGTGTGTGTGTGTGTGTGTGTGTGTGTGTGTGTATATGTATATGTATGTAGAGATAGGGTCTCATTGTGTTACTGGTCTTGAACTCCCACCTGTCCAGCCCTATACTTTATTTGCTAGTGATACCACCATTCTCCTGGGTACTGAAGCTCAGGACTTCTGACTTATTTAATCCATTATTCTATGTGTAATAGTTACAAAAATCTCTTTAGGGCCTTCCAGGAAAGATTTATTGCATTCAGTCCTTTCCATTTCTATTTTGTTTATGATCCTGCCTTCATCCTAGTTTAAACCTTCAGCATATATGATTTTAGTGCTTCAGCCCTCTTCCTTGTTTCCATGATTTTATCCTTTCTCTTTCATAGAGCCTTAATTGATTTTTATTATATGCTTGCCTGAAGCTCCTGAAAGGGCAGGAATTTATTTATTTATTTATTTAATTTTTTTGAGAGAGAGTCTAGCTCTGTTGCCCAGGATGGAGTGCAGTGGCACAGTCTTGGTCCACTGCAAACTCTGCCTCCCGGGTTCAAGTGATTATCCTGCCTCAGCCTCCCAAGTAGCAGGGATTATAGGCATGCACCACCACACCTGGCTAATTTTGTATTTTTAGTAGAGACAGGGTTTCTCCATGTTGGTCAATCTGGTCCTGAACTGCTGACCTCAGGTGATCCACCTGCCTCAGCCTCCCAAAGTGCTGGGACTACAGGCATGAGCCACTGTGCCTGACCAGGAATTTATGCTTACTATACGATGTAGGCAAGCACAGGATAAGGAGACAGATACAATATTTTAAATATTGTAGTCTTCTCAGAGGGAACTGACCTTTACATATCTAAATCAAGTGAAGTAACATGAAGATCATAGGGAATGATGTTTCAGAGGGATAAAATATTAAGTGTGAAAGCCCTGACATTAGAAATGAGCTTGAGTGGTTCATGCAATAAGGCCAGCAAGGTTAGAGCAAGACTGTGGAAGGGAGAGAACAGGCAAGGTAAGGCCAGCAATTTAGCCAGAGCCCTAATCACCATACACTGTGTAAACTATCGTAGGGAATTTGAATTAGTTCTAAATGTGGAGGGACGTCATTAGGGAGTTCTGAGCACGGGAGTAAAAGTTATCCAATTCATGTTACAAGTTTGTTCTGGCTCTTGGACAGAGAATGGGCTATAGGGCAACAAGAGCGAAGACAGAGAGCAATTATAAGGCTATTGCAATAATCCAGGCTTTAATTGCTTTTTTATAAATGTTACAGGACCGAAAACTATCCTGGGTAAAATTATATTATCTAATAATAGGCAAAAGTCTTAATGTCTTCTTCTGGGTACAGGAGAATAACCAATAAATTGTGAAGTTGCCTGGTTACAAATTCCACTGTAAAGCCAAGGCTGGGCAAGTAGAGGGGAATAAAACTCACCTGTAAGACTCTACCAAATGCAAGAAAGCTACCATCCCAAAGAAGAGGAGGCATGGCAGGAGAACTGAGACCCCCTCACTTCATAGCTTTATCTACTGAAGGCAGAAACCCTTAGGCATTCTAGGTTCTCATTTACAAAGACTGAAGTATTAATTATCAGGAGAGCTGAAAGAAATTTCTCTCCAGCCAGGTCTTAAAAGACCTAAGATCTAGTAACACAGCTGAAGAGATACCCTGAGGCTCAAAAATGAAGAGCAAGACTGAAGAGCATAGAGAACTCCTCACAGATTAAAAATCAGCAGCCAGGTGGTAAATCAGAGGAAGATCTTCCAACAGTTTGAAGGGCTGGAGACTTGGTTTTAAAACATAGGTAGATCTCTGGAATCTGGCCAGCACTCAGATTCCTCACCAGGCAGAAGAGAAAGACATTCCACCTGCCAGGCCTTTGAAGCTAGTGCTATAATGAATCTGACTATAGCTTCAGTTAAAGTCCAGGCAGTTTAAGAACTGTGACCCTACAAGAGAAATGGCATGACCTTTTCTGGAGGTAAATATTTTCTGCCTGAGTCTCTAGACTTTTTTAAATATTCAATATCCATTAAAACAGTAAACAACCATACACACAAACACACACATGAGAAATTGTAGCCCTCATTGAAGAGAGAAAACAGTCAATGGTAGCAGACTGAGAGAAGGCTTAGATTAGTTATTGGAAAGAGACTTTAGAATTACTATAATAAAGATCCTACATTACCATGAGGAAAAGATGGTCTCCATATACATGAAGCGATGGAGGAATTTCAGTGGGACAGTGACAGTTTTTTTTTTTTTTTTTTTTTTTTTTTTGGTTTTAAGTCAAATGGATAATGATGGGGACAAAGATAAAAGAGACAAAAACTGCAAACCAGTATCCTTCATGAATGTACATGCAACAGTCTTCAACAAAATGCTCAGCAGCCAAATTCAGCAGCACCCTAAAAGGATTATACACCATGATCAAGTGGGATCTATCCCAGGAAGGCAAGAGTGGTTCAACATATGAAAATTAATAGATGTAATACACCACATTACTAGAATGAAGAGAAAAACCACGTGATCATCTCAGTTGATGGAGGAGAAGCATTTGACAAAATTTAACAGCCTCAAATTCAGCAGCCTTTCATGATTTAAAAAAAGCAAAAGAAAACGGCAAACTAGGAATAGAGGGGGACTTCGCATGATCAAGGGCATTCCTGAAAAATCCACAGCTGACATCATACTTAATGGTGAAAGACTGAAAGCTTTCCCTCTAATGTCAGGAACAAGACAAGGATGCCTGCCTTCACTAGTATGATTCAGCCTTATGCTAGAAATCCTAGCCAGAGCAATTAGGCAATAAAAAAGAAACAAAGGCATCAAAAAAAAAAAAGACACACACACACACTCTCTCTCACACACACACACTCTCTCTCTCTCTCTTTCTCTCTCTCTCTCTCTTTTTCTCTTCACCCCCCCTTCCTTTCTCAGTCACTCTCTCTCCCTCCCTCCCTTCTCCTGAAGATTGTTGAAATTGTTTGTTTAAGTAGTCATTTAACTTGGTTGGAGTCACCCTGGGAAACTTATCTCCCTGTGGTTGGTGGCAGCTCAAAATCTCATTTCAGGTTTTTTAGCCTTGGGGTCTGTCCTGTTTGAGCATGGTTAGAGGTCAACCAAAGAAAGGTTTGGGCAGAGTTTATATGTATAGTTTGGAGCTCCCTACCTCTGTCTCCTTTCTGGGATTTACTTACCGCTTTCCAGAGGCTGTGGTTGTGCCCGATTTTGTTCTTGGTGTTTTTTTTTGTTTTGTTTTGTTTTTTTTAGTGACCCTTGGTGCTAAATGTTCTTGGTTCTTTGAAGCCCTGAATTTGGGCTGTAAGTTTTTTTATGGGAGTTTTAGCTGGTCTGTAAGGCATGCACTGTGGCTTTTTCTCAGGTTAAAAGCCATAAAAACAAGAAACATGCCCTTTGTAATAACACATATGTTAAAATGTATATGTTTCAACTTGCCTCCAGTATGTGCTTGTTTTTGGTTGCTCTCCATCAGGCCATTCTTTTTTTTTTTTTTTTTTTGGAGATGGAGTCTCGCTCTGTCGCCCAGACTGGAGTGCAATGGTGCATTCTGGGTTCACTGCAACCTCTGTCTCTCAAGTTCAAGCGATTCTCCTGCCTCAACCTTCTGAGTAGCTGGGACTACAGGTGCGTGCCACCATACCCGGCTAACCAGCTAATTTTTTATATTTTTATTAGAGACAAGGTTTCACCATGTTAGCCAGGATGGTCTCCATCTCCTGACCTCGTGATCCACCCACCTCGGCCTCCCAAAGTAATGGGATTACAGATGTGAGCCACTGTCAGATCATTCTTTATATTTGTTCCAGTTTATAGTTGTTATCTGCAAGAAGATGGGTCAAATCAGTGCCACGCAGCCATCTATGTCTCCTTAAGTGTTATTTGTATTCATCTTCAGGTTCTGTTTCTTTTAATTGCCTCCTTTCTTGTATCACTGTTTTTGCTTCCAGCAGCTCTCCCATGTCAATCTAATATAGTTAACTTTAGCAGTAGTGAAGGGATACTAAGGAAAGTCAAGTAGCCCAGGCCTGTTAAGTCAGTTGAAATTGTAGGTTTATAATACATGGGGTTTTCAGACTCTTTCTACTAAAACAAAGTGCCTCTGATTTAATAGTCTTGTTAGAGGACCTTCCCATATCTGAATGGTTAATGGTCTGGTCTCAATGGGTGATGTTGCCCATCGTACAGAATCAGTATTTTTGGTGTGTTTTCTACAGCAGAGTCAGAAAGCTTTGTACAATTTTGGTCAATCTAGATATTTATCTTTAAAAAAAAATTCCGCCGGGCGCGGTGGCTCAAGCCTGTAATCCCAGCACTTTGGGAGGCCGAGGCGGGTGGATCACGAGGTCGAGAGTTCGAGACCATCCTGGTCGACATGGTGAAACCCCGTCTCTACTAAAAATACAAAAAATCAGCTGGGCATGGTGGCGTGTGCCTGTAATCCCAGCTCCTCAGGAGGCTGAGGCAGGAGAATTGCCTGAACCCAGGAGGCGGAGGTTGCGGTGAGCCGAGATCGCGCCATTGCACTCCAGCCTGGGTAACAAGAGCGAAACTCCGTCTCAAAAAAAAAAAAAAAATCCCTTTATGTTACATATTCTAGTGTTTCATCTCTTAAACTAATTTGGAAATTTGTAGGGCTGCTCACTGGTTACTTTTGATTGTATTTTTTGAAATAACATTTCGTGTATCAATAGTATATAATAGAGATAGAATAGATTTACTGTTGTTGGCTTATTGTAAAATGCATGGATAATGAATTGTGCTTTTCTGTGTTTCTTCTTCCTGATTAGCTCCTGGGCTATAACGAAAAGCCGATAAATCTACAAATGTTTATTGGGACAGCAGATGATCGATATTTACGACCTCATGCATTTTACCAGGTGCATCGAATCACTGGGAAGACAGTTGCTACTGCAAGCCAAGAGATAATAATTGCCAGTACAAAAGTTCTGGAAATTCCACTTCTTCCTGAAAATAATATGTCAGCCAGGTATTTTGAAATATACCCAAAATGGGCAGTTCTTTTTTTCTCTATAACTATGTTCAGAGAAAAGTAAATATATTTTTGAATATAAATATAAAGTATTGTTTTAAATTGCATTATGTAAATAATGTGTGCATTTAGTACATTTGTTAAGAGTGATAGCTTATTTCCAGAAGGAAAATTCAATTTGGTAAATGTTATTGTAACATATACTACCAGCCAAGCCATTATCCTAGGTGATAGGGATGTAAATACTGTATCTGGACTTTCATCAAATGGCTCACAGTCTAATAGGGTAGACAATAAATAAACAATTATGATACAGTTATGATTGTTTCATTTCCTTAAGGAAAACTTTTGACTTTACCTCCAGGCATCCCATTTGACCCATTTCCAAATAAGATGAGGTGGCAAACTTCTGAATGAGAATGCAATAGAGTTTGATACAAAAGGATTAGTTAGGATTCTATATAGTTGTCTGTAATAGAAACCTGATATGCAGTTAGAGGTTTAGTGTTGAGAGGTTTTGTGTTTTATCACATAAAATAAATACACAGATGTTGTAGGGCTAGCACAGTAGCGCCTAAGTTATTAGGACCCCAACCAAGTTTTTTCTTCTCTGCCATCTTTAGCATGTGGCTTCCATCCTAAAGATTACCTTATGATCTAAAGTGGCTGCTGGAGCTCTAGCTATGACATCTGTATTTCCAGAAGGGATAATAAGGAGAAAGGGGTGGAGGAAGGTTAAATAGGAAATTCCATGGCTTGGCACAGTGGCTCAAGCCTGTAATCTCAACACTTTGGGAGGCCAACGCAGGCGGATCACAAGGTCAAGAGATCGAGACCATCCTGGCCAACATGGTGAAACCCTGTCTCTACTAAAAATACAAGAAATTAGCTGGACTTGGTGGCGCGCGCCTGTAGTCCCAGCTACTCAGGAGGCTGAGGCAGGAGAATTGCTTGAACCCAGGAGGCGGAGGTTGCAGTGAGCCGAGATCGTGCCACTGCACTGCAGCCTGGCACCTGGCCACAGAGCAAAATCTCAAAAAAAAAAAAAAAAAAAGGGAAATTTCATTAGTGTCGAATCCTCTTTTAAGAGCCTTTCCCTAAAATCTGTGTAACAACTCTACATCTCATTGATCACGCTTATATTGAGGAGCACATGGTTATGTTTACCAGAACACGTTGTCACTTCAAACAATGTAGGGAGGCTCAGCATGGTGGCTCATGCCTATAATCCCAGCACTTTGGGAGGCCGAGGCAGGCAGATCATCTGAGCTCAGGAGTTCGAGACCAGCCTGGCCAAATGTTGAAACCCTGTCTCTACTAAAAATGCAAAAATTAGCCCGGTGTGGTGGCACCTGTTGGTAGTTCTAGTTACTTGGGAGACCAAAGTGGGAGGATCACTTGAGCCTGGGAGGCAGAGGTTGCAGTTAGTCGAGAGTGCCACTGCACTCCAACATGGGCAATAGAGTGAGATCCTGTCTTGAAAAACAACAAACAGGCCGGGCGCGGTGGCTCAAGCCTGTAATCCCAGCACTTTGGGAGGCCGAGGCGGGTGGATCACGAGGTCGAGAGATCGAGACCATCCTGGTCAACCTGGTGAAACCCCGTCTCTACTAAAAATACAAAAAATTAGCTGGGCATGGTGGCACGTGCCTGTAATCCCAGCTACTCAGGAGGCTGAGGCAGGAGAATTGCCTTAACCCAGGAGGCGGAGGTTGCGGTGAGCCGAGATCGCGCCATTGCACTCCAGCCTGGGTAACAAGAGCGAAACTCTGTCTCAAAAAAAAAAAAAAAAAAAGAAAAAGAAAAACAACAAACAAGAACACAAACAATGTAGGGACGTATTACTAAGAAAGAAGAAAAGAAAGGATATCGAGTAGGTGCCTATTAATAAGTAGTAGGCACAACCAGGCATGAGAAACTTATATCGAGTTTTATTACAGAAGTTGTTTCAAACTACACTACAGATCTTTCTTAAGGCAGGAATAACATCCATCCAAGGCTGTTGCAAGAACAGTTCTACAAAAAAATCAGATTTCAGCTGGGCACAGTGGCTCACACCTGTAACCCTAGCACTTTGGGAGGCCAAGAGGGGCAGACTACTTGAGGCCAGGAGTTTGAGACCAGCCTGGCCAAGATGGTGAAACTCCATCTCTGCTAAAAATACAAAAACTTAGCCAGGCATGGTGGCGGGCACCTGGTAATCCCAGCTTCTCTGGAGGCTGAGGCAGAATTGCTTGAACCCAGGAGGCAGAGGCTGCAGTGAGCTGAGATCGTGCCGTTGCACTCCAGACTGGGCAACAAGAGCAAAACTCCGATTCAGAAAAAAAAAAAAAACAACAACAACAGATTTCAGTCTTGAACTCTCTTCATTTAAATTTATATTTAAATAAACTTTAGATGAGCTGAATATACCCTCTGAAGACACAGAAAGTGATATGCTTCTATTAGATAAAATAAGAATTGCCTCAATAAATAACTTATTCTGGAGGGATCACTTGAAGTCAGGAGTTTGAGACCAGCCTGGCCAACATTGTGAAACCCTGACTCTACTAAACAATAGAAAAATTAGCTGGGCATAGTGGTCCCAGCTACTCCAGAGGCTGAGGCTTGAGAATCACTTGAATTCAGGAGGCAGAGCATGTGGTGACCCGAGATTGCGCCACTGCACTCCAGGCTGGACAACAGAGTAAGACTTAGTCTCAAAACAACAGCAACAACAAAAAACCCAAACAAAGCCTTATTCTGTTACTTACTACCAGAAAAGAAAAGTTAATACAAATTTAAATAAAATCTTATTTTTTCCTGCTTTGATTCAAATGGCTGGTACTCAAGAATCCAATCCAGGAAATCATTGCATACAGGTTACGACAGAGTTTTTTTCATGGCAGAGGCAGACAGCTAGCCGATAATCTCTACTTTTAAACTTTTTTTTTTTTTTTTGAGACAGTCTCACTCTGTTGCCCAGGCTGGAGTACAGTGGCACGATCTCAGTTCACTACAACCTCTGCCTCCCAGGCTCAAGTGATTCTCGTCCCTCAGACACCCAAGTAGCTGAGATTACACATGTGCACCATCACTCCTGGCTAATTTTTATATTTGTATTAGAAAAAGAGTTTTGCCATGTACCAGGCTGGTCTCAAGCTCCTGGCCTCAAGTAAGCCACCTGCCTTAGCCTCCTAAACTGTTGGGATTACAGACACGAGCCTCTATACCTGGACTTAAAAATTTGTGTTCTATAATGAAGAAAGAACTTTGGAATTTCAGCCTGTACTTGATACTCAAGCAAAACTCTTTTCTTGAGAAAAACATTTGACACCAGGCATCCTATTGGACACATTTTCAAATAAGGTAAGATGACCAACCTCTGAATGAGAATATAAGTAGGCTTATTTCCTTTTGTTCTGGTATCTTACTTTTTTATATGGCATCAGAAGCATGTGATATGTGACTAACTAGCTGTAGAGGGAAATTTAAAAATCATCTTTGAACTATCTTTTTCCAAAAACTCAGGAAATTGATCCCTAGATGATAGTTTGCAGTTCATGTTTGCATTCATTCCTCTGGATCTTCAAAGCACGATATTTAAGTCAAGTTAAATAGAAAAATCACAAGTTTATTGTTTCTTAACTTGGCTTGAGGGACAGTATGAGAAATAGCCATAACCATACTTCGCAATCTGAAAAACTGCTGTTAAAGACACTTTCTCTTACGTTGATCATTATTGCATGCGTGTGCATATGTATGCACAACCACAGTCCTTTCAACTAAATGGAAAAAAGTTAATGTTTCCTGATGGGATGGTAGATTTTGCTTTAGCAGACAACAAGCGGCCTATAACAACTTTATCACATTTGCTTTTTGTCTTGACTTCCAGGAACTTCGTAGTCAAGCTCATTTACAGTAATTAGAGTAATTTGTACAACCCTAGACTTGGAGTTTACTTCCTATGGTGTTTTAAAATTTATTTCTTTTTTCTTGGCTTTATTTATATTTAATTGTAAAATGCCTCATCGTTTCTGAAAATAATATATAAACCAGTCAATAAAGAGAAAAGAGAACATTAATTTCTATGAAAAATTCTTGAGAAATTTGGAAAGGCTCACATCCCAAATAATATGAAAGAATTGGAGCAGTAGGATATGAATTTACCTGTCTCCTCCATCATCTCCCATTTACTAGCACATGGAACAAGGATAATAGTAATAATTTATGTCCCTCCTCAGCCTGATCTGGCATATACTGTCTGTGTGGATTAGACCAGAAAGGGCAAAGCTGCAGAAATACCACTATGGCTAGTAACATACAGCTAGTCCTCCCCCTGCAACGCTGCCAAACGCATACCTGAAACTTCTTGGCCATTCTATCTGCTTTGTACTGGTAGATAGTGGAACGGGAGTTCTGTAGGACCCAAGGATTATATATATTGGAGAAAGGATTAAGTAAGGGGCAACTAGGATGTTATTAAACCTAAGAAACCTTTTTCAGGTACTTTAGATAACCGGATAGCTAATAATGAACAAGCCTGTTAACTCAGCAGCTAATTGCTAGAATTAACTAGTATCCTAGTAGCTTGTTGAATGCAACTGTATTATTTAGTACAATGGTTGAATATAATATAGTTTCAGATAATGATAGGTATAAAATTTCCATATGATAGATAAGACCATGGTTCAAAATAATTTATGCATAAGTGAGCCTTAAGTATGTATTAAGTGTTTTTATTGTTCTCTTAAGGCAATAAGGTGTGGAAAGATTGGTAGATATTCTCTTGGTTTTGCCTGCTAAACCACAGGCTTGGTTATGCCAAACCTAATCTCTCTTGAATATGTAAGACACTCCTTTTTTTTTTTTTTTTTTTTGAGACAATTACACTAATCCATAAGCCACAGCGCTACCCTACAAGATGCTTTAAATATAGGATGCCAGTACTTATTACCTTAGCTATTTGCTCCTCTGTTTTTTAACACTGGATTAATATGGATGTAGCAGTGCTACACCTTGATTTAAAATGTAGTTTTAAAGGTAATTTAATACTTATTTTCATTGCTACATGAGAGTTTTTTTCTTTTTTGTTTTGTTTGCTTTTTTTGGTTTTTTTTTTTTTTTTTTGCATTTAAGAGTTTCAGTCTGGGCACGGTGGCTCACGCCTGTAATCCCAGCACTTTGGGAGGCCGAGGTGGGCAGATCACAAGGTCAGGAGTTCGAGACAAACCTAGCCAACGTGGTGAAACCCTATCTTTACCGAAAATACAAAAATTAGCCAGATGTGGGGGTGCACACCTGTAATCCTAGCTACTCGGGAGGCTGCGGCAGGAGAATTGCTTGAACCTGGGAGGCAGAGGTTGCAGTGAGCTGAAATTGCACCACTGTACCCCAGCTTATGGGACTCTGTCTCAGAGCAAGACTGTGTCTTAGGAAAAAAAAAGAGTTTTCGGATGTACTTTCTGGTACTGTTATTTCACTTCTGTTAGAGACTTAGTTTGCTGCTAGAATGCCTTTGGCCATTATTAATAACAGATCATCTCTGCTATTTCCCCTGAAGATCCATGTTGGCATGTTAGCATGATAATCGCTAATTTGATACAACTTGATCAATACTGCTTTGAGCTAAAGTGCATTGTTCAATATCAGTTATATCATTTGTTATCTCTAAATGGCAAATGCTTTTTTAATTTTCAAAATCATTTAATTTTTTAAAAATTTCTTTTGCTGTGTCTTTCTGAAGATGAAAAATTTTATCAGTTATATCATTTGTTATCTCTAAATGGCAAATGCTTTTTTAATTTTCAAAATCATTTCATTTTTAAAAAATTTCTTTGCTGTGTCTTTCTGAAGAATGAAAAATTTTGAGTGGCTTAATTTCTTTTGGATTCTTTCTTCTGCTTTACTGGTTCTTGTCTCCTTTTTTTTTTTTTTTTTTTTTTTTTTGTGGAGGCAGTCTCTGTTGCCCAGGCTGGAGTACAGTGGCACAATCTTGGCTCACTGCAGCCTCTGCCTCCTGGGCTCAAGCAATTCTCCTGCCTTAGCCCCCTGAGTAGCTGGGACTACAGGCACATGCCACTATGCCCAGCTAATTTTTCTATTTTAGTATAGATGGGGTTTCACTATGTTGCCCAGGCTGATCTTGAACTCCTGACCTCAGGTGATCTGCCTGTCTTGGCTTCCCAAAAAGTGGCGTGAGCCACCTTGCCCTGCCAGTTCCTGTCTCAATATTCTAGTTCTGTAATATATTGTCCTTCAAAATGACTTCTACAGCCTCTGTGCAATAAGTATTAGGGTTGGAACTATTGGTAGATCCAGTAAAAGGACCGATAACAAGGAATGCCTTGTTAACAAGGTTAACTAGTATATTTGGTCATAATTAGTTATCCATTTGCTTTATGAGGTAGAGTTTGATCTATGAGGTAGTTATTTGATTTTTTCTTCCAATATGTGAGCAACAAAGATACTTTGTAACTCCTGTTGTTTCCTGCCACAATAATGTGTTATACTTAGTAATAAAGTTAGCAGATGATGAAACATTATACCTTAAATGCAGAACCTTAACCTTATATGTGCATTCCATAGACATTCAAGAATTTTAGCCTGATGGATTGTTTTTATTAATAAATACATCACTATAAAAGTTTAAATATGCTATTGATGAATTATTTGTTGTACTGACCTAGTTACATGTATAGAATTAGTCTTTTTTTCTTTATTTCAGATGTCTAGTTCTGACACTCCGAAAATTTAATGGCTTATAGTGATAGCTCTTTGTTATTTTGCATGATACTTTGGGTTGACTGAGCTCAGCTGTTCCATTCACATGGTGCCAGCTGGGGGTCACTCAAGTACCTGGATTTAGTGGGAGCTCAGCTGGGGTTCAACATCCAAAATGTCTAGGGTGGCTGGAGTGGTTAGGGATTGTCACAGCCTTTCTCTCCACCATGCTAGTTGGACTCCTTACTCAGGACTCTAAGACAGCAAAAGTGGAAGTTACCAGCCTTCTTCAGTACTAGGCTCATAACTTGCATACTGTCATTTGGCCACACTTCATTTGTCAAAGGAAGTCATAGGCCAACTCTCAAGGAGAGCAGAGAGTAGGCATAGATACTCTACCTCTTAATGGCAGGAGGAGAGGCATGCGAGTACAGGAATGAAGAGGAATTGTTAACTTTGCAGACAATCTACTATACCTAATTTTGCACGTTTATCATATAAAAATATTTTTAATACCTAAACTTCAGTTTAGCAAAGAATAGCCATCATGCATATCTTTCTTTTTTGACCTTACTTTGGATAGTCTTTTTCTGATAAATGAACAATTTCCATGTTGTTGAGTTGTTTAGAGCCATGATTATCAATAAACAAATTTTTATATTTTTCTCTTTAGTATTGACTGTGCAGGTATTTTGAAACTTCGCAATTCAGATATAGAACTTCGAAAAGGAGAAACTGATATTGGCAGAAAGAATACTAGAGTACGACTTGTGTTTCGTGTACACATCCCACAGCCCAATGGAAAAGTTCTTTCTCTGCAGATAGCTTCTATACCTGTTGAGTGCTGTAAGTGAGCTTGTGATGATGTTTTAAGATCTTGTTTATAATTTATTTTCTGGTTTTGCTTATAATGTAATATATACATCAGAAGTGTAAACTGGGGTGTACAGTCTCGGTTGCTGGTTTGATTTTCTCACTTGGAAATGAGCTAACACGTTTGGGTAGAAGAGTACTGATCTTGGAATTAGAAAATGGTTTCTCATGATAGTTTTAGTAGGTAGCTCTGTGAACTATAGACACACTATCTTGACCAGAGTTTTCTTATATGTAAATGAGAATGGGGAGTTGAGGCCATCTGAGGACCAAATCATGAAGCTATGATTTAAGTATCACTTGGTAGACTTTGTTTCATTAAAATGTCAACCTTCATGCTAGAAGGTGCTTATCTTTGCAAGCTGACACTTTAGCTAAGTAAGACTTAACAGAGCTTTTGTTAAGATTATTCAAAACATTTGATTGAGACAGTGAATGTTTTTTCCTAACATATACAAAGGCAAGATACAAGAAAAGATCCTGGAACCTGACGTCTACTCAGTCTTGGGGAACTGTGGATCTTGGGCAGGTTAGCTAATATGACTTGAAATATTGAGACTAGTACTTAGATCTTTAGGATATAATTTAGAATATTCTGATTCCATGTTTTATTTGCATAGGAGGAAACTGAGGCATGAGTATCTCTAGTACTCATTCAAGGTTATTTGCTTTTTGGTGATAGAGCTGTGCTGCGTAGAACACAGGTTTCCTTAGTACTCTTTTGATTATATTACATTATTTTATTTTTGTTAATCATATGTATTCTTTTTCTGGGGTGAGAGGGTTGGATTTTTTTCCGAGATGAAGTCTCAACTCTGTTGCCTAGGCTGGAGTGCAATGGTGCAATCTTGGCTCACTGCAACCTCCACCTCCACGGTTCAGGCGATTCTCTGCCTCTGCCTCCCAAGTAGCTGGGACTACAGGGGTATGCCACCACACTTGGCTAATTTTTGTATTTTTAGTAGAGACTGGGTTTCACCGTGTTGGCCACCCTGGTCTCAAACTAATGACCTGAAGTGATCTGCCCACCTCAGCCTCCCAAAGTTCTGGGATTGGGATTACAGGTGTGAGCCATTGCACCCAGCTTATATTCTTTTTTGTTGTTGTTGTTGTTGTTGTTGAGATGGAGCCTCGCTCTGTCACCCAGGCTGGAGGGCAATGGCACAATCTCGGCTCACAGCAACCTCCACCTCCTGAGATCAAATGGTTCTCCTGCCTCATCCTTCTGAGTAGCTGGGACTACAGGTGCGCGCCACCATGCCCAGCTAATTTTTGTATTTTTAGTAGAGACGGGGTTTCACCTTGTTCACCAGGATGGTCTCGATCTCTTGACCTCGTGATCCACCCGCCTCGGCCTCCCAAAGTGCTGGGATTATAGGTATGAGCCACCGCGCCCGGCCTCATTGCCAGCTTTTTAATTATCCTGTCAGAGGGTTCTATGCTCATATAAGCATAGATAACTCTATTTTTGTTTTCTTTTTAGACAGAGTTTTGCTGGTTGCCCAGGTTGGATTGCAATGGCATGATCTTGGCTCACCACAACCTCTACCTTCCAGGTTCAAGTGATTCTCCTGCCTCAGCCTTCTGAGTAGCTGGGATTGTAGGCATGGGCCACCATGCCTGGCTAGCTTTTTATATTTTTAGTAGAGATGGGGTTTCTCCATGTTAGTCCGCCTGGTGTCTAACACCCAACCTCAGGTGATCTGCCCTCCTCAACCTCCCAAAGTGTTGGTATTACTGGGGTGAGCCTGCGTGCCCAACTGATAACTCTAGTTTTAAAACAAAGTTATTCATTCATTCATTCATTCATTTGAGATAGGGTCTCACTCTGTCTCCCAGGCTGGAGTGCAGTGGCACAATTTCAGTTCACTGCAACCTCTACCTCCCAGGCTTAAGCAATCCTCCCACCTCAGCCTTCCAAGTAGCTGGGACTACAGGCACAAGCAACCACAACTGGCTAATTTTTGCATTTTTCCCCATGTTGCCCAGGTTGATCTTAAACTCCTGGACTCAAGTAATCTGCCCACCTTGGCCTCCCAAAGTTCTGGGATTATAGGCGTGAGTCACCATGCCCGACTGGCAAAGTAATGTAAATAAGTTCATAGAGTAGTTTGAGTTTTTGAGATGGTTACACTAAAATGATTCTTAATTTTTTTCTTTTTTAGAAAACAAAATTGGCCAGGTGCTGTGGCTCAAGCCTGCAATCCCAGCACTTTGGGAGGCCTAGGCGGTTGGATCACCTAAGATAAGCATCACCTGATCCACCTGACCTCAGGTGATCCATTGCACTCCTGCCTGGGCATCAGAGTGAGACTCTGTCTCAAAAATTAATAAACAAATTAATTAATTTAATGTGCGATTATTGAGGATGTAGAAAACGCAAAATGGTACTAAGAATAGTACAATATTAAATTATTTTTTAATATTACTATTCATAGATAGTTACTGTTCACCTTTTTTGACTCTTTTTTTTTGTGGGGGAGGGACGGAGTCTCACTGTGTGATCCAGGCTGGAGTGCAGTGGCACATTCTCAGCTTACTGGAACCTCTGCCTCCCAGGTTTAAGCAATTCTTGTGCCTTAGCCTCCCAAGTAGCTGGAATTACAGGTGCCCACCACCATGCCCAGCTGATTTTTGTATTTTTAGTAGAGATGGGGTTTCATCATGTTGGTCACGCCGGTCTTGAATTCCTAACCTCAAGTAATCTTCCCACCTCAGACTCCTGAAGTGGTAGGATTACAGGTGTGATCCTTGTATTTTTTTTGTAAACACCCACATACACAGCATTTTTTAAGTGGGCTTATGTGAATAGTTTTATATCTTGTTTTGCAGTTTTCACTTCTGCTATCACAGGCATTTGCTTCTGTTAGAAAATATTCTTCAAAAATATTATTTTTACCACAGGAGTAGTTTTTTGGCATGTTTATGCCATCTGTTAAACACACTGTTTTGTTTGTTTGTTTGTTTGTTTTTTGAGATGGAGTCTCGCTCTGACAACAGGCTGGAGTGCAGTGGCACGATCTTGGCTTACTGCAACCTCTGCCTCCTGGGTTTGAACAATTCTCCCTGCCTCAGCCTGTTGAATAGCTGGGATTACAGGCACCCACCACACCCAGCTAATTTTTGTATTTTTCAGTAGAGACGGGGTTTCACCATGTTGGCCAGGCTGGTCTTGAACTCCTGACCTCAGATGATCACCAGCCTTGGCCTCCCAAAGTATTGAGATTACAGGTGTGAGCCACCACGCCCAGCCTGAACACACTTTTGCTGTTACTTAGAAAGTAACTGTAATCAGTGTTTGTTTTCAGGCCCCTTCTTTGTGACCTATTTAGAACAGTAGAGACATGCGTATTTTCTGAGATTTAGGCTGGTGCTTGGTACATCCCAAGTAATAGTTGATCCTAAATCACATACCTATCTTTTTTTTTTTTTTTTTTTTGAGACGGAGTTTTGCTCTTGTTACCCAGGCTGGAGTGCAGTGGCGTGATCTTGGCTCACCGCAACCTCCACCTCCTGGGTTCAGGCAATTCTCCTGCCTCAGCCTCCTGAGTAGCTGGGATTACAGGCACGCGCCACCATGCCCAGCTAATTTTTGTATTTTTAGTAGAGACGGGGTTTCACCATGTTGTCCAGGATGGTCTCGATCTCTTGACCTCGTGATCCACCCGCCTCGGCCTCCCAAAGTGCTGGGATTACAGGCTTGACCCACTGCGCCCGGCTTTTTTTTTTTTTTGAGACAGAGTCTCATTCTGTTGACTAGACCAGAGTGCATTGGTGTGATCTCGGTTTACTGCAACCTCCGCCTCCTGGGTTCAAGCGATTCTCCTGCCTCAGCCTTCCAAGTAGCTGGGATTACAGACATGCACCATCACATCCAACTAATTTTTGTAGTTTTAGTAAAGATGGGGTGTTATCATGTTGGTTAGGCTGGTCTTGAACTCCTGACCTTAGGTGATCCACCTGCCTCTGCTTCCCAAAGTGCTGAGATTACAGGTGTGAGCCACTTCGCCTGGCTGTATGTGCATTGTCTTTTTTTTTTTTTTTTTTTTTTTTTGAGACAGAGTCTCGCCCTGTCACCCAGACTAGAGTGCAGTGGTGCGATCTCAGCTCACTGCATCTTCTGCCTCCCAGGTTCAAACTATTCTCCTGCCTCGGCCTCCTGAGTAGCTGGGATTACAGGCATACGCCACCACGCCCAGATAATTTTTGTATTTTTATTAGAGACTGGGTTTCACCATGTTGATCAGTCTGGTCTAGAACTGACCTCGTGATCCGCCCACCTCTGCCTCCACAAAGTGCTGGGATTACAGGTGTGAACCACCATGTCCAGCCCACGTATGCATCTTCTATGAAAGGATTGATGATAATACTCTCTTTGAATGAGGCCAGGGTTCCAGTTTATGTACTTTTGTGATTAGGTATTAAATAATTGATAGCTGTTGTGAACTGGGAATGCATGCTTTCCTAACAGCAATGAATTTTAAATTTCCTTAAAATACTCTGCTAGCCAAACAAAACACAGCTGATTCTCAAGCCCACCAGTTTTCTCACCTACACACTTGGAAAAAAAGTGGACCTGTTGCTGGGCGCTGTGGCTCAAGCCTGTAATCCCAGCACTTTGGGAGGCCGAGGCAGGTGGATCACCAGGTGAATAGATCGAGACCATCCTGGTCAACATGGTGAAACCCCATCTCTACTAAAAATACAAAAAATTAGCTGGGCATGGTGGCGCATGCCTGTAATCCCAGCTACTCAGGAGGCTGAGGCAGGAGAATTGCCTGAACCCAGGGGGCGGAGGTTGCGGTGAGCCGAGATCGCGCCATTGCACTCCAGCCTGGGTAACGAGCGAAACTCTGTCTCACACACACACACAAAAATAGTGGACCTGTTTTCCAAATAAAAATGTTGAAGAGATATAACTAACACTTTTAAATTTGTTTTAATTCAGAGAAACCTAGGTTTCTAGGTATTTGGCAAGAAAAATTTATTAGAGGCCAGGCATGACTCACACCTGTAATCCCAACTCTTTGGGAGACCTAGCCAGGAGTATTGCTTATGTCCGGGAGGACTGCTTTAGACCAGGAGTTCGAGACCAGCCTGGGCAACATAATAAGACCCTGTCTCTACAAAAAAACCACAATTTTTAAGTTGGTGATGGTGATGCATTTCTATAGTCCCAGCTCTTGGGGAGGGTGAGATCTGAGAATGACTTGAGCTTAGAAGATTGAGATTGCAGAGCTGTGATCACGCCACTGTACTCCAGCCTAGGTGACAGCGCATGACCCCTTCTGAAAACAAACAAAACCAGCCATTAGAGAACCTACATAATAAAAAGAAATATAATTTATAGTTTGAAACTCTAGCAATTAAAAGAAAGAAAAGCCAGAAATAGGATTTCCAGAAAATGTAGCAACTTGGAACCGGTCATTATCAGAGAAAGGTGACACCATAAACACTGATTATAAAAGTTGATAATGTAAATACCAGGGCGCAGTGGCTCACACCTATAATCCCAGCACTTTAGGAGGCCAAGGCAGGAGGATCGGTTGAGTCCAGGAGTTCGAGAACAGCCTGGGCAACAAAGTGAGACCCTGTTTCTACAAAAATAAAATTTTAAAAATTGGCTGGGCAGAGTGGCACATGGCCTGTGGTCCCAGCTACTTGGGAGGCTGAGGTGGGAGGATTGCTGAGCCCAAGAGTTTGATGATGCAGTGAGTTGTGCTCATGCCACTGGGCAATAACCTGGGCAACAGAGCAAGACTCTGTCTCTAAAAAAAAAGTAAAAATACAGGCCAAGCATGGTGGCTTACACCTGTAATCCCAGCACTTTGGGAGGCAGACGGATCACGAGGTCAGGAGTTCGAGACCAGCCTGGCCAACATAGTAAAACCCTGTCTCTACTAAAAATACAAAACATCGGCCAGGCGTGGTGGCAGGCGCCTATAATCCCAGCTACTCAGGAGCCTGAGGCAGGAAAATCGCTTGAATCCAGGAGGTGGAGGTTGCACTGAGCCGAGATGGCACCATTGCACTCCAGCCTGGGTGACAGAGCGAGACTCCATCTCAAAAATAAATAAATAAATAATACAAATGAATTTAAAAAGAAAGGCTTACTTGGTGTTTGTCTAGGAGTAGTTCTTTTAGAACTTGTCTTCTCTCCTTTGCACATAATATAATAATATATCTTTGGAGTTACATGCTTTTTGTAATTATACTGGATTTACAGATTTTAACAGATAGTTGCATGGAAGAAATATATTAAGCATTTAAGCAAAAAAGAAAATCAGATGAGGTAAATGTGGAGTCAGCATGGAGTTGAAGATACTAATTTTTATTAGTTTCTTTATACTTGTAATCTAAGAAAATGGTTGGCTGGGTGTGGTGGCTCATGCCTATAATCCCAGCACTTTGGGAGGTCAAGGCTGGAGGATTGGTTGAGGCCAGGAGTTTGAGACCAGGCAACAAAGTGAGACTATGTTGCTATTTAAAAAAAAAAAAAAATTAGCTGGGCATGGTGGCATGCACCTGTAGTCCCAGCTACTTGGGAGGCTGAGGTGGGAGCGTCAGTGTGAGACCCTGTCTCAAATAAATAAATATACTTAGAAATCAGATAAATCTAATTATCTATTTTGTTTTATGAACAACTTAGTTCTTTTGGTGAGTTTTGTTACCATTGTCTTGAATTTTAAAAGCCTAAATGAATTAATCCCAAAATTTGCTTCTCTTTATTTTCTTTTTATAGCTTGAGTTTATTTATGTATGAAAGATTTTTAACTAATATTTTGTTTTTTCTCAACTCTTAAAAAAAATTCAAAACAGCCCAGCGATCTGCTCAAGAACTTCCTCATATTGAGAAGTACAGTATCAACAGTTGTTCTGTAAATGGAGGTCATGAAATGATTGTGACTGGATCTAATTTTCTTCCAGAATCCAAAATCATTTTTCTGGAAAAAGGACAAGGTAAATAATATATGAGTTGATTGACTTCAAACTAAGGGGTAAAGGGTAAAATAAATTATTTAGATTTTTCAGTAACAAAAATTACAAAGTAGTTTTAATAAAGCTACAGGTATCATTTTGCACCAGATTTTATTTTAAACCAAACATTTATTAAATTTTCATATAAATGTTAAATTATCTTTAAGGAACTGGGCATGGTGGCACATGCCTGTAGTTCTAGCTACTCAGGAGGCTGAGGCAGGAGTATCACTTGAGCCCAGAAATTCTGGGTTACAGTGAGCTCTGATTGTGCCACTTCACTTCTCAGCCTGGGGAACAGAGTGAGATCTTGTTTCTAAATAATAATAATAATAATATAATAATAATAATTTAAGATGTCTTAAAAGTAGAGATCCCCCAGCAACTCTACTCCTAGGTATATACTTGAAAGAGTTAGAAATACATGTCCATACATAAACTTAAGAGATAGATATTTATAGCAACTTCATTTACAATTGCCAAAAAATGGAAACAACCTAAAAATGCTCACCAAATGATGAATGGATAAGCAAAATGTGATATATCCATACCCTGGAATATTATTTGGTCATAAAAATTAATGAAGGCTGGGCACAGTGGCTCACGCCTGTAATCCCAGCACTTTGGGAAGCTGAGGCGGTTGGATCACCTGAGGTCTGTAGTTTGAGACCAGCCTGACCAACATGGAGAAACCCCATCTCTAGTTAAAAATACAAAATTAGCCCAGCGTGGTGGTGGATGCTTGTAATCCCAGCTACTCAGGAGGCTGAAACAGGAGAATCGCTTGAACCTAGGAAGCGGAGGTTGTGGTGAGCCGAGATGGTGTCACTACACTCCAGCCTGGGCAACAAGAGCGAAACTCTGTCTTCTAAAAAAAAAAAAAAAAAACATTAATAAAGTACTCCTACATGCTACACATGGATAAACCCTGAAAATAGGCCAAGTGAAGGAATCCAGCACAGAAGGACACATATTGTATGATTCCATTTACATAAAATGTCCAGTATAAGCAATCCAAAGACAAAAAGTAGATTAGTGGTTGGTTGGAGGAAGGTGTCAATGGTGAGTGACTCTTGATGGGAGCTGGGTTTCCTTTTGGGGTGATGGAAATGTTCTGGAATTAGATTGTAATCATGGTTGTACTACTCTGTGAATATCCCCCAAACCTCTGAGTTTTATTCTTCAAAAGGATAGATTTTATAGTATGTGAATTATACCAAAATTATTTTTAAAGTAGAAGAATTCAGTGTTTATGAGGGTGTTTGATTTTATCCCTTGTGCATATTTAAAACACTTTTCCATCAATTATTTCCTCTCAGTTTTAAAAACATTTAAAACTTATGAAATACTTTTTTTTTTTAGAGAGTCTTGCTCTGTTGCCTTGGCTGGAGTGCAGTGGCACAATCTTGGCTCACTGCAACATCTGCCTCCCAGGTTAAAGCGATTCTCCTGCCTCAGCCTCCCAAGTAGTTGGTATTACAGGCATGCGCCACCATACCTGGCTAATTTTTGTATTTTTGGTAGAGATGGGGTTTTGCCATGTTGGCTAGGCTAGTGTTGAACTCCTGACCTCAAGTGATCTGCCCGTCTCAGTCTCCCAAAGTACTAGCATCTACATGCTGGCCATAAAACACTTTTTTTTTTTTTTTTTTGAGACAGTCTCTCACTGTGCAGTAACTATTTGTGTCTTTGCCTAGTTTCTCCATTGGATCATTTTAAAATTTTTTAGTGACTTGTAGGAATTCTTTATATATTCTGGATATCAGAATGAATTGGGGAAACTGCCTCATCTTTTTTCATTCTTTAACAGTGTTTGTGTTGGGTACTTTCATGTTCTCTTGTGCATGTGACAGAGCTTACCTCCAGAACCTTCTGGAGAGGGGACTGTTTTTGTGTGAAGCCATTAACATTACTTGTGATATATTTCTATTTGTGGCTGTAGGACTATTCAGTATGTTTCTTCTTGAGTTTGATCATATATATTTGTCTTGTTTGTTTGTTTGTTTGTTTTTGAGACAGAGTTTTGCTTTTGTTGCCCAGGCTGGAGTGCAATGGTGCAGTCTTAGCTCACTGCAACCTCTGTCTTCCGGGTTCGAACAATTCCCTTGCATCAGTCTTCCAAGTAGCTGGGATTGCATGTGCCTGCCACCACGCCCGGCTAATTTTTGTATTTTTTTTTTTAGTTGAAACAGGGTTTCACCATATTGGCTAGGCTGGTCTCAAATTCCTGATCTCCAGTGATCCACCCGCCTCGGCCTCCAAAAGAGCTTGGATTATAGGCGTGAGCCACTGCGCCTGGCTTGGTCATATATATTTTTCTAGGACTTTATTTCTTTTCCCTACATTTTCAAATTTTATGGACATTAATGAGCTCACAGTATTCTCTTTTTGCCTCTGGAGTTATATCCCCCAACATTTTTATTTATGCCGTTTCTGGATTTTTAACCAGTCTTTCCATAGTTCTTGGCTTTATCAAACCTTTCAGTGTGCCTTTCTGTTTCACTGATTTCTATATTTAACTTTTCATTTTCTTTGGTTTATTATGTTTTTTCTTTTTCTTTTTGAGATGAAGTCTCACTCTGTCACCCAGGTTGGAGTGCAGTGGTGCAGTTTTGGCTCACTGCAGCCTCTGCCTCCTGGGTTCTTGCAATTCTCCTGCCTCAGCCTCCCAAGTAGCTGGGACTATAGGCACACACTGCCATGCCAGGCTAATTTTTTTTTTGTATTTTAGTAGAGATGAGGTTTCACCATGTTACCCAGGCTGGGCTCGACCTCCTGAGCTCAGGCAGTTCATCTGCCTTGGCCTCCCAAAGGTTGGGATTACAGGCGTGAGCTGTCACACCTGACTATGTTTTTTCTTAATTAAAATTTTAATCTGTTTTTACTATTTTATCTTTTTAAAACTTAAGTCTTAAAGGCTATACAGTGCCTCCATCACCTCTCTTTTATAAGTTCTCTTTTTCTACTGGATTCTCCTTCTTGTAGTTTAATTATGTTTATGTCTTTTCATCCTAAACATTCCCTTTCTCTTAACTCTGTCATCCTCTTTAGCTTTTGTTTCATTTCTCTACCGTTTAGCATCCACCCTCTCAAAAAAATGTAGTGTCATTTGCTTTAGTTTCCTTATCTGCCACTCTTTAATCTTTTGTCCTTCACTTCATTGAAGTCATAACCACCTGAAAATTTTTTTTTTTTTTGAGACGGAGTTTCGCTCTCGTTACCCAGGCTGGAGTGCAATGGCGCAATCTCGGCTCACTGCAACCTCTGCCTCCTGGGTTCAGGCAATTCTCCTGCCTCAGCCTCCTGAGTAGCTGGGATTACAGGCACGCGCTACCATGCCCAGCTAATTTTTTTGTATTTTTAGTAGAGACCAGGTTTCAGCATGTTGACCAGGATGGTCTCGATCTCTTGACCTCATGATCCACCCGCCTCGGCCTCCCAAAGTGCTGGGATTACAGGCTTGAGCCACCGCACCCAGCCTCCACCTGAAAATTTTACAGCTAGCTACTTACTCTCCTTCTTAACTCTTTTCCCCCTTTGCTTTGTGTAATTGTTCTTACCTGGTTCTCATACATCTTTATTACTGTTCGTCTTTTTATGCGAGTTTTTCTGGCTCTTAAATATAGATGTTTTCTAAGGTTTTATATTCATTTTTCTTCTCATTATCTTCCTCCTTTTTGAGAAATTGTATTAGCTCCCAAATACCTCTCTGTAGCAACATGTTTCTCTTAAACTTTAACCTGAATGTTGAAGTACCCACTGGATATTGGTTTATAAATGTCTCACTGGTACTTAAAATGTGAAAACAAATCTGACTTCACAAACTAGTTTCTCTCTCTGAATTTCTTAACTTGATTAATAATACATCAGGGTTGGGTGCAGTGGCTCACACCTTTAATACCAGCACTTTGGGAGGTTTAGGCAGGTGGATCATCTGAGGCCAGGAGTTCAAGACCAGCCTGGCCAACATGGTAAAACCCCATCTCTACTGAAAATACAAAAACTTAGCTGTGTGTGGTGGCAGGTGCCTGTAATCCCAACTCGGGAGGCTGAGGCAGGAGATTGTTGAACCCAGGAGATGGAGGTTGCAGTGAGCCGAGATTACACCACTGTACTCTAGCCTGGGAAGCAAGAGGGAAACTCCATCTCAAAATAATAATAATAATATCAGCATCTTCTCTTTGAGCAGGAAACGATGTGGCTGTCTGTCTTCTCCTTTAAAATTCATTTACCTTCAACCCTGACCCATATCCTGTCTGTCTTCAAAAAACATCAGTTCTGTTTCATAATTTATTAATTCTTCAATTATTTATGCAACAGTGCTATGTGATATAGACACTAGTCTAGGCATTAGGGATATAATGTTGAATACAACCTTCAGGTTTGCCTGCCCTAATTGAGCTTACATTCTGGTAGGGAAGCACCTATAAACAAATAAGTGAACAAGATTATTCCAGACAAAACCACTATGAAGAACTGAATTGTGAACTGTTTATATCAAGTCATCAAGGAATGTCTTTCTGTAGGTGTCACATTTCAGGTGAATAAGGAGCATGAGGAAGAGATGGTGTCTCAGAGCTGTCCCTTCCTTTCCACTGTAAAAATTCATCTGTGCTTGAGTACAATTATTAGGTATTATTGAATTCGTTTATTTGACCCAGAGCTTCACATTTAAGAGCTTTTGATTGAAACTGAATCATGTTAAATGGTGGTAGTTACTGGCTTTAGGGGAGATTGCAGTTGTAAACATGTAACTCCCATTTTAAAAACGCCTTCAGGTGGGGCGCGGTGGCTCACGCCTATAATCCCAGCACTTTGGGAGGCCGAGGCGGGTGGATCACGAGGTCATGAGATCGAGACCATCCTGGTCAACATGGTAAAACCCCATCTCTAGTAAAAATACAAAAAATTAGCTGGGCATGGTGGCGCACGCCTGTAATCCCAGCTACTCGGAAGGCTGAGGCAGGAGAATTGCCTGAACCCAGGAGGCGGAGGTTGCGGTGAGCCGAGATCGTGCCATTGCACTCCAGCCTGGGTAACAACAGCGAAACTCCGTCTCAAAAAAAAAAAAAAAAAAAAAAAAAAAAAAAACACCTTCAGTGATCCCCTTCATTTTCTAGGCTCCTTATTATGGCATTCAGGCCATAATCTGCTGCCAGTCTTTCCAACCCTCTTTCTTACTGCTCCCTGCCTTGTACTTTACACAATATCATAGCTGCTTATAGATCTCTTTATCTTAGGGATTCTTGTCATCTTGCCTTTGCTCATGCTGTCTCTTCTACCTATAATTACCCTTTCCCCACATTATGAGTTCTATCTCATGTTAAGTCTCAGTTCTAGAGCTCTTCTAGGAAGCCTTCCTTGTCTCACTACCCTCCCCAAGATTAGAAAGACCCTGCTCCTGTGTTCTTGGTTTAACCAGAGTGCACCTTTATTAATTATTGTACCCACCACTTTTTTTTTTTTTTTTTTTTTTTTTTGAGATGGAGTTTCGCTTTTGTTACCCAGGCTGGAGTGCAATGGCGCGATCTTGGCTCACCACAACCTCCGCCTACTGGGTTCAGGCAATTCTCCTGCCTCAGCCTCCTGAGTAGCTGGGATTACAGGCACACGCCACCATGCCCAGCTAATTTTTTGTATTTTTAGTAGAGACGGGGTTTCACCATGTTGACCAGGATGGTCTCAATCTCTTGACCTCGAGATCCACCCACCTCGGCCTCCCAAAGTGCTGGGATTACAGGCGTGAGCCACTGTGCCTGGCACCCACCACATTTTATTATAATGAACTGTTTGCATTTGCCTTTCATCCACAGGCTGAAAGCAGGGTACCCGGTCTCAGTTATCTCAGTAACACAAAGTGTCTTGCACATAAGGATCCAGCCCATCATTGCTAAACTCAGCTATAAATCTAAGTAGGTGTAGCACTTGTCTGTAGTATCTCTTGTGCATCAGAAGTAGCCATTTTCTAGTTGCTGGACTGGAAAATGATGGTTACAACCTGGAAAGTGTTTGATGAAATCTCTCTTGATAACTTCACAGACCAGGTGAAGAAGTGATGCAAGCAGGTGTGTGGCTTAGTCACTGGGTGAATGCCTGTGATACAAAAATAATGCATTGGAATAATTGTATATCAGTCAGAGAATTTTAGTACTAGACAAGGCTGTCTCCAAGTGAGTAGTTCACTTGGGATAAAGAGAAAAAGTGTTGGCCAAATCTTCAGGTGACAAAAATCTGGAAAGCTTAGGAAACATTTTTTAGGACCATCAATATCTAAAAACTATTTTGGCAAGTCAAGTAATCCAAAAAAATGAAATCTCCCTGCTGGGAGTAAGTAATGTTCCAAAGGTTTGGGAGAAAAAAAACAACTCAGCTACATAAGTGCACAGTGTGGGAACATGGCAGTAGGAAATGTATAGATAGTTGGTCACTTACTTAGTGTGAGGGTCAGCTTATGGTGCTCCCAAGAAAGCTTCCCCATGCACCCTAAGAAAGCTTTCATTAACAGACACAGCAATTCCAATGTATGGTGGTGACAGCCTCAGTCATTCTGTACCATGCTTGGTCATTTCTCACATAGGCTGTTAAGTCCTGGTCCTGGTGAATTTGGAGGAGCATGTTTACACAGAGACCATGAAGTCTAAAATATCGTGTAAGGGATAGGCACAGAACTGGGGATGCTAGCCAGTGGGAGAGGAGACACAAGCAGGCATAACTGCTTTTCAACATCACAGACAAGCAATCAAGATTTTATTTTGTGACTGCAAGGAACAGTATTTAGACCAGTTGTTGGATACGTAAAGAGACATTTCATTTAGCATGAGGAGCTTTCTAGCAGCAATTATTATCCAAGATGGAGTGAGTTACCTGGTGAGGAAGTGAGTTTCCGATCATTTTAGATACACAAGCAAAAGTTGGCCACCACTCGATGGGGGTGCTCTCAGACGGCTTTTAAACATCACTTTGGTAGATGGTTAGAATGAACTCTGTGGGATCTGCTAACCTGGGCAGCCCAAGATCTTTCTCCTTATTTTTTCCTTGTTTGTACACATTTCACATTTTATTTCATAATGGAAGTCAGTGAAAAAAAGATCCCCTTTGCTGATAAATTTGTGATACTACATGCTTTAGATTTGGTCTGTGTGCTTTCTGATATAAATTGCTTTTAACTGTAAACTCTTTCTTTCAATAGATGGACGACCTCAGTGGGAGGTAGAAGGGAAAATAATCAGGGAAAAATGTCAAGGGGTAAGAAATTTACCTTAATTTTTAAGAAATATTTAAGACACTGAATAGAAAATTGAATAATGTTGCTTTATGATATGGATGAGTCTTTTGTATATTGATTAATAAAAAAGTAAAATTAAGCCGGGCGCGGTGGCTCAAACCTGTAATCCCAGCACTTTGGGAGGCTGAGGGGGGTGGATCACGAGGTCGAGAGATCGAGACCATCCTGGTCAACATGGTGAAACCCCGTCTCTACTAAAAATACAAAAAACTAGCTGGGCGTGGTGGTGCGTGCCTGTAATCCCAGCTACTCAGGAGGCTGAGGCAGGAGAATTGCCTGAACCCAGGAGGCAGAGGTTGCGGTGAGCTGAGATCGTGCCATTGCACTCCAGCCTGGGTAAGAAGAGCGAAACTCCGTCTCAAAAAAAAAAAAAAAAGTAAAATTAGCCTGGACACAGGGGCTCATGCCTATAATACCAGCACTTTGGGAGGCTGAGGCAGGAGGATCGTTTGAGCCCAGGAGTTCAAGACAAGCCTGACCAATATGGTAAAACTCTGTTTCTACAAAAAAATTAGCCATGCGTAGTGATGTGTGCCTGTAGTCCCAGCTACTTGGAAGGCTGAGGTGGGAGGATCACCTGAGCCTGAGAGATCAAGGCTGCAATGAGCCATGATCATACCACTACACTCCAGCCTGGGTGACAGAGTGAGACCTTGTCTAAAAAAGTAAAATTTCTAGAGGTTTGGAAGTAAGATACTTAAATAGTATTAAAGTAAATTAAAGCTTAGAAAAGATAACCAGTTAGTGTCTTTTTTTTTCCTTATTGTGTATAGGGAAGGAGAAACTAGAAAGATCATCATCAGAAGGTTCTTATTGAAATTATTATAATTTCTCTGAATTCAGGAATAAAAACAGATTCAATAAAGAACATATGTATAGGCCTTCACAGAGAAATAAAAAAGAGAAAGAACATAGGTACTGGACAAAAGATAGTAGCAAGACAAGTCCTTAGAGAATTGTGTACTTAACACACTATTTCTTCCTCCTCAGTTACTTAGTTAAAACTTCTAGGATTCTACATTGAAAGCTTTGGACTTGTTTGGAATAGAGACAAGAGTATTTTCTGGGATAGGGAATACCAGTTTCCACAGTGCTTTCCAAAGATGTGGAGCAATTAGGTTGAGAATTGCATTTGGTTTGGGGCTAACATTTTCACCTTGGTTTTGTAAAATTATTTTTTATATAGATACAAATTTTGTTTAATACCAGTTTAAAACATTTTGGGTTGTTTTGTTTAATTAATTAATTAATTAATTTTTTTTTTTTTTTTTTTTTTTTGAGACAGTCTCTTTCCATTGCCAGGTGCCAGGCTGGAGTGCAGTGACAAAATCTCGGCTCACTGCAACCTCTGCCTCCCGGGTTCAAGCAATTCTGCCTCAGATTCCTGAATAGCAGGGACTACAGGCATGCGCCACCACGCCCAGCTAATTTTTGTATTTTTAGTAGAGATGGGGTTTCACCATGTTGGTCAGGATGGTCTCGATCTCTTGACCTCGTGATCTGCCCACCTGAGCCTCCCGAAGTGCTGGGATTATAGGCGCGAGCTACCGCGCCTGGCCTAATTTTTTTTTTTTTTTTTTTACATGTAGAGACTGGTTTTCACCATGTTGGCCAGGATGGCCTCGATCTCCTGACCTCATGATCCACCTGCCTCAGCCTCCCAAAGTGCTGGGATTACAGGCGTGAGCCACCGCGCCCGGCCATTTATTTTTTTTTTTAGATGGAGCCAAGCTCTGTTGCTCAGGCTAGAGTTTAGTGATGCAATCTTGGCTCACTGCAGCCTCCGCCTCCTGGATTCAAGTGATTCTCCTGCCTCAGACTCCTGAGTAGCTGGGATTACAGATGTGTGACCATGCCTGGCTAATTTTTGTATTTTTACTTGGGATGGGGTTTCAACATGTTGGCCAGGCTGGTCTCAAACTCCTGACCTCAAGTGATCTGCTGGCCTCAGCCTCCCCCAAAGTGCTGGGATTACAGGTGTGAGCTACTGCACCTGGCTCTAGTTTAGAACATTTTGAATGTAAAATTTAAGATAAGAGATCTAAACTATAATGCAGCTTGGGAATCATTAAACCTAATTAAAAACCAGAATGAGCCGGGCGCGGTGGCTCAAGCCTGTAATCCCAGCACTTTGGGAGGCCGAGGTGGGTGGATCACGAGGTCAAGAGATCGAGACCATCCTGGTCAACATGGTGAAACCCCGTCTCTACTAAAAATACAAAAAATTAGCTGGGCATGGTGGTGTGTGCCTGTAATCCCAGCTACTCAGGAGGCTGAGGCAGGAGAATTGCCTGAACCCAGGAGGCGGAGGTTGCGGTGAGCCGAGATCGTGCCATTGCACTCCAGCCTGGGTAACAAGAGGGAAACTCCGTCTCAAAAAAAAAAAAAAACCCAGAATGAATTTACTGTTAAGATACATGGTAACATGTAATACTTGGTAGAGCAAAATATCTCTCTACATAGTATGTAAGACTTTTTACTTCTGCTATGGCCAGAAACCCAATTGGGTGAGTAAAAAGCAATTTCTGTTTTATTAATTAAAGAACTTACCTCTTTCAAGACTGAAGTGTCCCTATAGTAAATCTCCAGATGACTTATATGACTAGCTGATGTGCATAATTATCTATTATGTGGGAGCCTTGTAGTTAAGACTCATGAGTTGTGATGTGTTTAGCAGGTGCATTTCATTTTTAGTTCTGAGTGTAACATAATCTTGCTTTCCATCCTCAGGCTCACATTGTCCTTGAAGTTCCTCCATATCATAACCCAGCAGTTACAGCTGCAGTGCAGGTGCACTTTTATCTTTGCAATGGCAAGAGGAAAAAAAGCCAGTCTCAACGTTTTACTTACACACCAGGTACGAGGAGTCGTGATGATTTACTATAAAGCTTCCTTTCATGATGAATAAAGAGCTATTCAATGAATCTTGTATTAGAATGTTTAAAATAGAGTGCGTATAAACAATGAAAACACCAACAGATGCCCAGTCTAAAGTTTATGTTGACTTTACATATTAGATATGCTCTCAGTTGTTATTTTGTAATGATTTATTATGGGGAAATTAGAAGATGGACTGTAGGTTTAAAGTCTTTTTTTCAGAAGACTTTTTATCAAAAATTCCCAGCATTACAGAGGGGCAGGTGTTTGTGAGTATGTGTGTGCTCCTGAGTCTTGAACTCTCTTTGTACTCTTAGCACTGTAAAAAGGCATTGTGCTCAGTTCATAGTGTCTTCATCTCACCCATTCCCAATCACATGAAGAAAACCCTTGTTAGATTTTCTTTTTTAAATTTTTAATATATTTTTAATATTTTTCTATTTTATTCTTGATCATTTAACTTGATTTTGTTAGATTTTCATTTGGCACATAGCAGCTGCACCATACTGTGGGCTATAGGGGGTATAAACTTGATGCCAGAGTTCCTGATTTTGTAGATACAGCCTAACACAGGAGGCTTCCATGCCTCTTTTTGCAGCTATTCAAGTGCTATAACTTTCCAGTTATTGATTGTGACACATAAATATTATGTGGTGTTTCATGCTGATGGTGACAGAGAACAAATATGTATAGAGGCCTTCTCTGTTCTAGGCACTGCGCTTGTCACGAGGGTATGTAATAATAAAAAATTAAAGTGTACCTGCCAGGCGTGGTGGCTCATGCCTGTAATCCCAGCACTTTGGAAGGCCAAGGCAGGCGGATCACGAGGTCAAGAGATTGAGACCATCCTGGCCAACATGGTGAAACCCCGTCTCTACTAAAAATACAAAAAAATTAGCTGGGTGTGGTGGCGCATTCCTGTAGTCCCAGCTACTCAGGAGGCTAAGGCAGGAGAATTGCTTGAATCAGGAGATGGAGGTTGCAGTGAGCCGAGGTTACACCACTGTACTCCAGCCTGGCGCCTGGTGATGGAGTGAGACTCTGTCTCAAAAAAAAAAAAAACCATTATAGTGTACCTTGCCCTTTAAAATTTACTCTTGCAAAAGCTTTAAAATGGTTTATAGGAAATGAAAAGAATAGGCTGGGCACGGTGGCTCATGTCTGTAATCCCAACACTTTGGGAGGCTGAGGCAGGTGGATCACAAGATCAGGAGTTTGAGACCAGCCTGGCCAACATGGTGAAACCCCATCTCTAAAAATACAAAAATTAGCCAGATGTGGTGCCGTACACCTGTAATCCCAGCTACTCAGGAGGATTGCTTGAACCTGGGAAGCGGAGGTTGCGGTGAGCCGAGAGTGTGCCATTATACTCCTACCTGGATGACAGATTGAGATTCCATCTCAAAAAAAAACAAACAATTTTTTATATTTTTAGTAGAGATAGGGTGTTGCTGTGTTGGCCACGCTGGTCTTGAACTCCTGACTTCAAGTGATCTGCTCACCTCAGCTTCACAATGTGCTGGGATTACAGTCATGAGCCACCACTTCCAGCCTTGTACCCTTTAAAGCCTGGGTTTATTTTTACTTATAGTCTCTAAAGGCCACTTATGTTCCAAAAGCTGAAAATCATGCCTGGCCCCAATTATTTTTAGAAATTAGCCTGGTCTGGTGGTGTGTGCCTGTATCCCAGCTACTTGGGAGATTGGGGTGGTAAGATTGCTTGAGCCTGGGAAGTTGAGGCTGCAGTGAGCCAGGATCATACCACTGCACTCCAGCCGGGGCACCAGAATATGACCCTGTCAAAAAAAAAAGACTCTCTCTCATACATACATGCGCGCGCGCGCGCACACACACACACACACACACACACACACACACACACACACACACACATATATGTATATGTGCTGGGCTTGGTGGCTCATGCCTCTAATCCCAGCATTTGGGCAGGTCAAGGCGGGCAGATTACTTGAGGTTGGGAGTTCGAGACCAGCTTTGCCAATATGGTGAAAACCCATCTCTACAAAAATAGAAAAATTAGCTGGGCATGATGGCGCCCATCTGTAATCCCAGCTGCTCAGGAGGCTGAGGCAGGAGAATCACCTGAACCCAGGAAGCAGAGGTTGCAGTGAGCCAGGATCACACCATTGCACTCCAGCCTGTGTGACAAAATGAGACAATGTCTCAAAAAAAAAAAGGAAAGAAAAAGGCCACGTGCAGTGGCTCATGCCTGTAATCACAGCACTTTGGGAGGCTGAAATGGGTGGATCATTTGAGGTTAGGAGTTCAAGACCAGCCTGGCCCACATGGTGAAACTCTGCCTCTACTAAAAATACAAAAATTAGCTAGACGTGGTGGCACACACCTGTAGTCTTAGCTGCTCAGGAGGCTGAGGTAGGAGAATCACTTGAAGCCAGGAGGTAAAGGTTGCAGCGAGCCAAGATCGTGCCACTGCACATCAGCCTGGGCAACAGAGTGAGACTCCATCTGAAAAAAAAAAAAAAATAATAAGACCAGCTTGGCCAACATGATGAAACCCTGTCTCTACAAAAATACAAAATTTAGCTGAGTATGGTGGCAGGCACCAGTAGTCCCAGCTACTCAGGAGGCTGAGGCAGGAGTATCACTGGAACCTCGGAGGCAGAGGTTGCAGTGAGCTGAGATGGTGCCACTACTCTCCAGCATGGGTGACAGAGCAAGACTGTGTCACAAAGAAGAAAAAAAAAGACACTAAATAAATAAATTGCTTACAAGTTTGTAATTAGAAACTGAGGTAAAGGCTGAAGCAAAGGGACATAGTGCTGTGGGTGCAAATAACAGACCACTGCACAGGCTGACAGGTTTAGAAAAGGCTTTCATGAAGAAGTGATACTTGAGTTGATAACTGGAAAGTAATAGCTATTTATTAGCATTTACTGTATTCTTAGTGATGTTCTTTTTTTTTTTGAGACAGAGTTTTGCTCTCGTTACCCAGGCTGGAGTGCAATGGTGCGATCTTGGCTCACCACAGCCTCTGCCTCCTGGGTTCAGGCAATTCTCCTGTCTCAGCCTCCTGAGTAGCTGGGATTACAGGCATGCACCACCATGCCCAGCTAATTTTTTGTATTTTTAGTAGAGACAGGGTTTCACCGTATTGACCACAATGGTCTCAATATCTTGACCTCGTGATCCACCTGCCTCGGCCTCCCAAAGTGCTGGGATTACAGGCATGAGCCACCACGCCCGGCCTCTTAGTGATGTTCTTAGCCCTTCCTGTATTTTTTTTTTTTTTTTTTGAGACGGAGTTTCGCTCTTGTTACCCAGGCTGGAGTGCAATGGCGCGATCTCGGCTCACCGCAACCTCCGCCTCCTGGGTTCAGGCAATTCTCCTGCCTCAGCCTCCTGAGTAGCTGGGATTACAGGCACGCGCCACCATGCCCAGCTAATTTTTTGTATTTTTAGTAGAGACAGGGTTTCACCACGTTGACCAGGATGGTCTTGATTTGTTGACCTCATGATCCACCCGCCTCGGCCTCCCAAAGTGCTGGGATTACAGGCGTGAGCCACCGCGCCTGGCCAAGCCCTTCCTGTATTAACTCGTAATCCTCATAATTGACCTATGATGTAGGCTTTGTTATTCTATTTTCAAATAAGAAAAATGAGCAGTTAAGTAACATGTTTAAGGTCTCATAGTGTCCAGCATAAATCTTAGAGCCAAACTTTATGCACAAGCAATCTGGCTGTAGAATCTGGGCTTTTGTTATGATAGAGTACACAGAGGTTTATTTATTTACTTAGGAAACATTTAGAGCATTTAGTGTCTGCCAGGTGCTCTTCTAAGCATTTTACACATAACAACTCATTTATCTTCCCATAACCCTGTAAGGTAAACACTATTGTTCTCCTCATTTTACAAATGAATCAACTGAAGTCACACAGGTAGTAAGTGTTAGAAAAGGGATTTGAATCTAGGCGTCTGGCTGGGGAGTCTATACTATTAATTACGGTGTTAGATAAAGTGAGGAAGAACGTTGCAAATCAAAGACCGCATGTGCAGAGGCCTTGTTGGTGGGATCATAGAGTATTCAAACAGCTGTAAGAAGTGAGCTATAGGCCGGGTGCGGTGGCTTACACCTGTAATCTGAGCACTATGGAAGACCAAGGTGGGCTGATCACCAGAGGTCAGGAGTTCAAGACCAGCCTGACCAACATGGAGAAACTCCATCTCTACTAAAAATACAAAATTAGCCAGGCGTGGTGGCTCATTCTTGTAATTTCATCTACTCAGGAGGCTAAGGCAGGAAAATCGCTTGAACCCAGGAGGTAGAGGTTGCGGTGAGCTGAGATTATGCCATTGCACCCTAGCCTGGGCAACAAGAGTGAAACTCCATCTTAGAAAAAAAAAAAAAAAAAAAGCGAGCTTTAACAGAGAGGTAACATGATCAGACTTGTATTTCACAAATCACTTTCCCCAAGTTTCTCTTTATAAAGTATCAAGAACTAATTTAATCATTTCTGAAATTAGTGACTATAGGGAGCAAGATTTACATGAGATAAGCCTAGGAAGGTGATTGAAACACTAAGAGTGTTTTGAATTACAGATAACATCAGTGATGATAAAGAATAATCAGGTTTTTGGAAAAGATGAGAGGGGATAGAATTTAAAATGGGCCTTAGATGGGAGAAGGAACAGAAGGGAAGATGAAGAAGATGGATTAAGATGGATGTAGATGAAAAAAGTTGGTAGATTTAGTAATTGAGACTTTAAGGAGCTTCTATATGATAGCTTTAGTTTTATTTTCCTGTAAAAAATGACATGTCCTGTGTGAGCAGTGGAAAATTTGGGTGATTACACAGTTGGACAATCATGGAGAACGTTTGAAATCAGTTTTGTTAAGAAAGGGAAAGTTCTCTGCAAAAACGTAGTAGGATTCTAGACCTTATTGAAGGGCACCATTGATGTTGATCATCAATTTACAGTCACTATTATAATTAATCCTA